TCGTATGTACACATATTCGTATATATGCAACTGACTGGAAGGTGGGTGCGTAAAATAATAAAAACTACTTGCCAATGACCCTCGACGGACAACAGAGGAGACAATATTTAACAGGCGAACAATACAACACAATGCATTTAGTATTGATCCATAACAACCAACTGCCATGACTTCAATACCCACTGAGTTATAAAGGTAAATTGGTATCAATCGATTGAAAGTTGCAGGAAATATTTCTAAGCTAAGATAGAAATCTTTAATTTTAAACTTAAAAATTTAAGTCGTGAAGAGAAAATTATGAGTACACCCAAAATAATAAACCATATTTCAATTTAAACGCGCCTTAAAAGTAAGAGCTATAAAAATTGAACCTCTAATATAAAATGTATAAATGGAGCATTTCTTTATATGGAGTATTTCAATATTAAATAATATAAAGACTAGTTTGCTGAGCAGTTGATTGATTTCAAATCGATTGTTTCATTTTGATACTTTTAAAAGTATCGCATTAAGAAGTGGTTCAAACTTAAGAATTCCTGCAACAAAAGTGTTATTTGTATGACTATTTTTCCGTGTATATTAAATGCTTAAACTAATTTTAATCAAATGATAAGAATCATATTCAAGAAATTTAAAACCAAGCATTTTGTTCGTAACAAAATTACAAAAATAAATAAAAAACTTCAATAACATATCAGGTTTTTGTAGTTTTTAATGATGCCTAAACAATATTTAAAAAATGTAATAGATGAGGAAAAGTATATTTTTTTAGAAAAAGATCGCTGCCATGACCTTCTCTTCAATGTTGCTGTCCGTTCGAAGTACACAATTTGTACCGGAAGACAGAGACAAAGGAAAACACACTTGCACACTTTCCCCGAATGCCGCCCAAGTTTTCCACTGACAGACAAATCATATTTTCCGCGGCTTACTTAGTGTGCACAGATTGTTCAGATTGTTCAGATATACTCCCCTTCTAGTTGGCTAGTTGATTTTTGGTTAGTTGGCTTTCGGCTTTTGCCTTTTGGCTATATGGACTCACATAAATATGCTGTGTGTGTCATGATGGTACTATGTTGGCAGCGTCGACGTTGACGTCGACGTCGGCAGCGCTCGCTAAAACTACATAAATCAAAGGAAAAGCATTTTTCTGTTTTCTGATCGTCTAGCTGAATTTTGCTTTTGTTTTTGGTTCATTTCTATTTCCCCCACTCGTTTTTTCTCTGCTTTTCATGGCGATTGTTGATTGCTGTCGTTGGTGTTGTTCTTATTGTTGTTGTTGCTGTTGTTGTTCTTATTGTTGTTGTTTTTGTTGTTGTTCTTATTGTTGTTGTTCTTATTGTTGTTGCTTTTGCAATGGCATTTTGTACGCATGTTTCAGACATTTAACATTTTTTGTATATAGACAAGAGACAGATATCGTTCATACACACACGCACACACATATAGATGTATATATAGGTCTTTTTGTTTTTATTTGTTTGCGGCGGGGCCGTGAGGCCAAAACATTTATAGGAATATTTCAAATTGCAGACGACGACGACGACGGCGACGGCGACGTCGCTGCCAGCAGCGCCTTAAATGAGGCTGACAAAAAGAAAAACGACAAAAAAAAGCCAAACATAAATAAATAAAACCGAAGGGAATTATAATTGGTAGTACCGCAGCTGGCATACCCTGCAAAATGGCTAACTTGGTCAAAATAGCTGATAAACTAAACTATCAATTAAAGGTTCATTTGAAAAACACATTTTTTTAACCGATTTTTGAATAATTTTTAAGATTTTTTGATTTTTTTTGCGAAAATTAGTCCAAATATAAATTTTTCAGTTATGAATGTCAATCGATTGAAAATGTTATACCGAATTTAACAAGACATTCCACGATTTGATTCCAAAATCCTAAGCTCAAGTCGATTTTTTTCGGGGTTTTGGCTTATTATAATTTTGTAGACATTTCCTACCCTATAAAGTATATATATAAGTCTTGTTTTAATTCGCATTGCTAGGCTAGTTTATATAGCCATATCCGTCTTTTTCAATACCTTTTTCCAGCTAATTACTTGAATTGACTATAACCTATACCTGTTATATATATATACATATATATATAATCATTAATTTTCAGTGGAACTGCAAGGGAATTAAGACTTTGGTTTTGCAAAGTATATTTCCCTTTTCGCTAAATAATAAATCTTCAAAAGTGCAGCCTTACCCAAAAAAACAACAAGTCCTTTGCCATTATTCGCTTTTCTTTGATGTTGGCGATACCCTAACCTGTAAACACATCACTCTCTGAAATAAATATTTCTACACAATTAAAAAGAGAAAAAAAACACACAATGTTTACCTGACTTTTGTCTATTTATTTAAATGTAGATGCATAAATTATAATATCACTATGTTTCTATATAATTATATATAGAAAAGAAGCCAATTTAGATGTTTATTTTAATATTGCTTCAAAAATAACAATGTACCCAGAGATTTAGGAGAATCCCGACGAGAACCCTGGATACGATGATGAGTGGGTATATCAAATATGAAATGAATGGAAAATGCGGTTAAAAGCCAAAGCGTGTTGTTGGCTTTTCCTTTGTTGATGCTGCCTGGCATCTGTCTATTTTCGTGAATATTATTTCATACGCCTTACATACTTCGTATTCTTTTCTTTTTTTTTTTTTGCTTTTAATAAGCCGAAAACTATTTTAATATGTTTTATTTTTATTTCAAATGTGACACAAATGATTGTTAACGATATCGCGCGATGTTATTGTCTGCATTTTTTGGATTGGCTGGCGCTATGTCGATTCGCTGATAATAAAATCAAAATTGAAATTGAAAGAGAAAGCGAAGGCGAACCAATTAATTAACAAAAGCCCCTGCAAAACCGCAAAAATGTTGTCACATACCGCATAATACGTATATTTTGGCTGTTTGAGTCGGCAGTTTCAATTCGAATATTTCGTTTTGTCATATTTTCCCACATTATTTATTAGCAATACTTAATATACAGTCGACGATGGTTCATTTTTTCGCCTCGGTTCGGCTGTGATCCGTCCTGTTCTGGTTTTTAATTGCGCTCACACGTGCCGGGTGCTATATGAGTGGACATTTATAATATCTGAGCGATGATATATGGAATGTTTCGGCACTAAAGGGACTTCTCTTTCGCAACGGAAAGAAAATTGTTTTTATTTAATCAATTTTTGAGCGAGGACGGTTTGTTTTCGCGATTTCCAGACTCACGACTCTCGTGGGAATGTGTCGCACTTAACACTTTTCGAGGAATTTCACTATCGTTAAAATTGTATTTTTTAGAGCAAATATGCAGAAGCGTATACATATTAGGTTTATTATTGTTGATGCCCAATTTTATGCTCAGTGTTTTGTTTTTGTATGTCAACCAGTGTTGGGTGTGGGTATAATAAAAGTTCCTCCTTTACCTAAGTGATGGTTGTTATTTGAACAATATTTCTATTTTAAAACCAATCATAAATAACGGCAACTTACAATTTTCTTGTAATATAATTATAAATATATAAATATAAGATGAGAATCTGATATGGTTTGTTAAACAGAATATAATATGCTTTTTTAAATTTTCGGAATTTTTTATGACTTTAAATTTTGGTATTTTAATATCTCTGAATACCTGCTCAAAGAATATCGTTTTTTCTTTAGGCAAGCATTGTTCAAGCGTTCTCAAAAAAATGTTTTCATATTATGTTGCGTAAAATGCCTGCAGAATTGATAGCTATTGCGGAATTTAAGTCTTACAATTCAAAAAACAAAGTAAAAAATTACCTATTCACAAAGTTTTAATTTTTTTCTAAATAATTTAAAATCTTTATAAAACAAAAGTTTCTAATTAATTTGAAATCTTTTTAAAATTATTCGGCATCTTCTTTTTTTCTATGGCGCAATTAAATTATGGCATTGCAAAAAATAACATAGCCCCGATTCGGAACAAACAAAAATCGATAGCTTACCTATGTATGAAAAACCTTTATCAGAGTTTCTGAAATTCGGGGATTTCATATTTTGGAACATCGTAAAATGGCGGCTTAACATTTTCGGCTGCCTTGGCGGGCAACATGTTGCTCTCGCTGGCCCGTCTTGGCAACGCAACATGCTGCTGGCCAAGTTGCGCAGTCGCAGCGACGTCGGCGCAGGCAGCGCGCTCTCTCACGAGAATGTGTCCCAAAGAAGAAATGAGTCGCCGGCGCTCTCTCTCTCTTCCGTTACAGCGCTGTTAGGCATCGTAACAGCGCTGTTATTGCGCAGCCGCTGTCGCTGTCGCCGCCGGCGTCGGCGTCGCTGCCCGCGCGGCACGATCCGAAATCGCATATACACGGCGGTGAAATACGACCAGCTATCTAGTAGATAAAAAGCCGCCGAGAACGCCGAACCGCTAACGCAAACGTTAACGTAAACGCCAATGCCAATCGCCAATTGCCAAACAGTCGCGTTGTCGTTGTCGTTGTCGTTGTCGTAATCCCCATCCGAGATCGACTCTATTTTCCAGAGCATACAATGCAGTACACACAGGCCGTTCAATTGAAATAGTGCTATTGCCATAACCAAAACTAAAACTAAAACTAAACAACGTTAAGTCAAGTAAAGTAAAGAAAAGAAAACAAGTCTCGAAACTGAAAAACTGAAAACGAAAAACGCAAATTTATGCAGCCACTACGCTAAAGCTAAATAAAAATAAAAATAAAAACAAACCAAAACAGCGAATAAAAAACAGCAAAATAGAATAAATCCAATAAATCGGCGCGCGAAACTCGCGTGTGTGTTATCTAATCTGCAAGAGAAGTACAAGAATCGAAATCGGAATCGATTCTATACTATATCCATATCTATATCCATCGCGTGTGTGTTGTGTGTGTGTGCGCGCGCTGCGACCTTTGTTTTATATATTTTTTGTTGTTGGTTCAAACTGTGAAACGTGCTTCCCAAGCCGGGCATAATAAAAAAAAAATATCCATATACATACATAAATATGGCCAACAAGCAGAGGAAGTCGAGTGGCGGCATCGAGTGGGCCACGGCCACCGGCACAGTGCAGCTCCTGGAAAGGAGCCACTGCAGCAGCAGCAGCAGAGATAGCGAGTACCCCGCCCCGCCCCTCCCAGCCACCCAACACCACCACCAGCAGCACCACTGCAGAGTCCAGCGGGAGCAGGATCAGCCGCTGCCAATGGGCCGCCACCTGCGCCACCTGCTCATCGCCGGACTGCTGCTCGTGTGCCTCGTGGGCGGGACGGAGGGCCGGCGGCATGCGCCGCTCATGTTCGAGGAGTCCGACACGGGCAGGCGCTCCAACCGACCAGCGGGTAAGTCACCTCCATCCATTATTACCCCATCTCCACAGTATCGTATGTCATTTGCCATTTTCCATTTTCCATTTCCCACTTGCCGTTTTACTTTTACCCACTTGCCAGAGAACAAACAGCGCCGGTTGCTGAAATAGAAAACCAACCGGCTTAAGTTGGCAATTTTTTAGTTTTCAAACAAAATTATAGGCAGTTTAAATAATTAAAATGGTCTTAAATGAAAAACGTAATTTCAAAATATATTGCCAGCAATTTCCAAATTAGTAGCATATTCAAAACAAGGCATTGTTTTAAGTATCCACAGCTTAAGATATTCTAATACTTTTTAAGATTTTTAAATACTTTCAAAAATGTATTTTCCAAAATCACATCTTAGGTCAGAAATACTCTAATTCCCAAAATATCTACAAAATTAAAAGCTAACATTGGAGAATAATAGAATTTTCAATTTGTACGACTTTAAAATCGAATAATCTGTAAAATACTCAAAATCAACGAAGATAATTTATTACAATTTGATATTTTAAAATTTAAAGGAATAAGTCTTTTATAGGTTAAAGAAATTTAAGCAAAAATAGTAATTTGTGATTATAAAAATAGGCTTTTCATAAATTACAGTATAATATTTCCTTTTGAGAACACAAAGTATAAAAGCTTATGTTTATCATTTTATGTTATGATTAATAAATCATAATAATCAATTTCTAAGAAATTGAAATTAAATAGGAGAGGGATTGCGACTTGGTTGAAGCCTGGCAATTCTGAAATTTCTACCTCCGCTGTGGTTGCATAAGTTTTCGTTGCCATTGCGCATACGCCGTGTCGGCTGCCGGCGGCGGTTGTGCGGCCATATCTTTATGGTGCGGGGAAATCCCCGCAGGTAGAATTCCAGCCGGTGTCGAGGCGGGACCTGCTCGCACCTCTAATCCCGCCAGGGGTCGGGATGTGGGATATTCCCATTCCCGGCGGCACAGGCACACACACTCCCTACTTTTTTTTTTATTGTGTACCGCACCACATATTGTGTGTGCGATTTGGCCGCCGTGTGTGCTAATCCGGAAAGCGGGAATGGGAATTCCCTTCCGTTCGCTGCCTGCGTTGTTGTTTTTTTTTGTTTGACGCGCAGACGCGTCGGCGTCCATAAGCCGCTTACCGTAGGAGCCACTATCTATATACGATATATAGAGCGATCGATATATGGATGGGGCATACTGGAGATGAGATGAGATGGGATGGCGAGCGGCACCCAACTGCAATTTGTTGCAACTCACACGCTTGATTAGCTGCATTTCCTGTTTGGCTCCCCGGCTCCCTATACTATATCGCATACTATTATATTATGTTTCCAAGTTGCCGTTTTTCTTGGTCCGCTGCCGCTGTTGCATTTTCAATTAAAAACAGATTGCGGTTTACGTTGCAGCGACTTTGAAACGTTTCTCGGCTTACATAGTAATGATGATTAACAGGTTCTGTTTGTTTCTGGGCTTAGTTGCCTCAGATGTCCAGTGCGTCCCATCCACATCCACATCCCGGTATTTGCGCCGGAACCGGAACGAATAGTACTTGCACAACCAAACTAAGCTTAAAGTTAATCCTCAGGTTTTAGGGCTTACATAGCTACGCAATCTGCAGCTTACAGCAGGGAGTATCATAAACGTATACCATATTAGGTGGTTTCAACTTCCAACTCAGTTATCTCGAGAAGTAAGCCAGCTAGCTTAGTCAATCCTCTGGTAAACTTCATTTCCCAGCCGCCCTGGCCGTTTATCAAAGTTTCCCCCAAATCGTTGGTCGTTTTCATAATGTTGCCCCGGCGAAATGAGTTAGGCCCCCGGTAATTGGTTCGGGCCACGCTCGTGGGCAATCGTAGATGGCACACTTTGACGCCCACGCGCGACCCAACTTGCATCCTACCTATTCGGCACCCACCTCCACTGCCACCTCCACTGCCACTTCCACTTCCAGAGATCTCTGTTTATACAAAGTCTTAGCATAATTTAGTCGTTATATGGCTGCGAGCCCCCAACCACCAGACACACTTATCCGCCGTTGTTGCTCTTGCCATCGTTTTATTTTGAAAGAATGAATGAAAAGCCAACGCACGGGCAGAGTAGCAACAACTACCAAAAACAGTTCTTTTTTTGGGCGTCAGTTCTTTTTTTTTTTTTTTCTTCGCTTTTTGTATTTTTTTTTTGTTTTATTTCCCCTCTTTTCGGAACCCAACTGGTGGCTAATCAAACGTCAAAGACCACGCAGACAGGCCCAGCAAACTACCAGCCAATTCGTTTTGTTCATTTCGCATTTAATTTAACTGATTAACAAGCTGACCGACCCCTTCACCATCCCCCTTCCCCCGCCATTCCCCCCCTCATTTCCATTCCCATCGACAACCCACGGTGCCGCCATTCGTCAGCATAATTCATTTATTCAACTGTCTGCCGCCCAGTTAGGTGTTAAAAAGTTGTTAACTTATTTTTAATGAATGCGTGTAAAAACACAACACTCACACAAAAAACGGGCAAAAAGCAGGGGGGCAAAAAAAAAGCAAAACAAAAAATAACGAAAACCGACAAAAAATCCGAAAAAAGGCAACGAAAAAAAAGATCAAGATGTGCCTACGTAGAGCAGCCCCAACTTTGCCGCCGGCAACGGCAAAAATCGTTCCGTTCATTTCGTTTCGTTTCGTTTTGGGATCTCGGCAAACATATCATGATCAGCGGCGGCAGAAAACGAAACGCGAAGAAGATGGAAAAGAGCCAGCTTAATGGTCAAAGCCGAAGCTTTGGATACCCTGAAAATGCAATGTGGCCCAGAATGACAGGTTTCAAAAGGGTTTTTGTGAGATTTAGCCATACCTTTTAGAATATGATATTCCATAAATAGTATTATAGATAAATTAACATGTTTTAAATTCAGTTAAAAAAAAAGGAAAACAAATTTTTATCTTAAGGAGTTTTAGATAAATGTTTTTAGGACTACTGCAATATTTCCTTAATCATCATTAGGAATCAAATTCAGTATAGATCTTCTTCAATTTAAAATAAAAGCTTGTTAAAAGAATTTTCCCAATGCTAGTTAAAAATGTTGCTATAGAATTTAATTACCATCTGGAGATGTATTTGGTGGACTTCTCAGTGAGGGTATGGCCAAGTGGGGGGTCGGCACGAAACAAGTTAAGACGGAGCAGGTAGGGGGTGGGGAGGGGGGTAGAGGGGAGGGGGGCAGGGCTTAAGCTAAAGCCAAAGACTGTCTGTCGTTTGTTTGGGGCCGTCTGCGACAGCCACCCGAAATGAGCCACCGCCGCCGTCGTCGTGTCAGTTGCATGTCAGCTGGCCAAAAGGGGGACCTGGAGGTGCCCCCGTTGCCCCTGCTGCCCCTCCCTGCACCCCTCCTCCCCTTAGAGGAGGAGCCCCCGTGGCAGTGCCAAGCGAAATGCAACCAATTTGTTGCATTTGCCACACAGACGCGTCGAGGAGGAGACCTCGAGGCCGAGGCGTCGCCGCAGCGTGTGGGCAGAGGAAGCACAAGCACTTAATGCCCACAAGGTGTCAAATTGCAGAAAACTCCGCTTCGCCCACCCCGAAAAAAATAAAAAAAAACAACCAAAAAGAAAAAAAATAATACACACACACACAAAAAACGAATGAAAAAAAATATCAGCCTATGTGTCTGGCGTAAATTAATTTGGCCAAGAGCGTAGGCAAAATAGATACGATACGATCTCATTGAATCAAATCCGTAGGTTCCACGCCGTTTCCGTTCCAATGAATGAAGTTGCAATTTGATTGGGCCGAAAGGAGAATTGAAAGACAGGAAACCAAAAAAGAGATAGGCATGGAGTAAATCGGCGGAAAAGGAAAATGGAAAAGGAAAATAAAAACGGTGGAAAGTTGACAGCTAATAACAGATTTGCGCTGGGCTCTTTTTTTATGGGCGCCATCCATCTGCATCTCTCAGTGGCATTTGCCATGCCTTTCATTAGCACATGCCGCATTCTTGCCATGCATTAATTATCAAGGCGCAATCAGCGCCATTCAGCCCCCCTCCCTCCCCTTCCCCCATGCCCCCTACCCCTCTTGGGCCTTTCTCTAAATGAGAGATGCATTCGCACGCATCATCTAAATTGCGGATCGCTGATAGGCGGGCAGCGGCAGAAAACGCTCTGAAAACGCGCTGAAGGTTCTATCAGTTGCCGAGCATCAATTTGCCATCTTTCTATGGCTATTTTATGGGGGAATTAAATTCAATGGACTCGCTTGTGGCTCTTCTAAGGCTAAAAGTTCAACAAGAACGAGGAATCAACTGGTTAATTCACTAAAAAAAATAGATTATTTTAACAATTTATGGTATTAAAGAGTACAAACCTTTTGATGGATATTTACTTCTCTGCAAACCAAATTTAGCAACAATGTCAAAATAACATATATATATTATAATTATCTAGTTGCAGAAATCAACATAGATTATAATATATATGCAAAAACAGTCCTTAAAATGTATTCAATTAAATCAAAACACAAAACCAAAGCAGCTAAAATCCGAAAATATTTGTGAAATATATATGTGAAAACCCTTTGATGACTATTTCAACAGCCGAAAATTATAATGAATAAAATATATATATTCGCTGCTTTGGCTCACACTATATTTTCTATAAAAATTGCTGGCAATTTTTGTCGCCAAACAAACTGTTTGCAATTGGGCATGCAATTGCATAGCTCGACAATTAAATTTACCCTTTAATAGTCGCACATGGGGCAAATCTTTCGTTTCGTATTTTTTCGTGCTAAAAACGCCCACCAAAACAAGAAGAAAACCCAAAAACGCCCGCAAATCGCGTGTCGCGTGACGCGTTTTGCCGGTTGTTACTATTGTTGCTGTTGCTGTTGTTGTTGTCTGCCCATTCATTGCAACCCCAAAAACAAAAACACAAAAAATACAAAATAAAAATAAAAAAAATAAAAATAAAAAGAATACATCCTCAACATATTTGTGCAACT